TGTCTAATGAAATCGTCTTGTGCCCTCTAAAAGTGAAGTATGTAGTGACTTTGAACACCGCAAGTAGTACCTCAACCGGAATAACCAGGAGGACACCGGAATTAACGAGTTAAGCATTTTGTAAGTGAGTAAAATCGATGTAATATCATGGTTATATGTGATTACCCGGATTACCCCTAGAGTATCCTCCTGATAACGTTACTTTTTCTCTAGGATTACGCTGGATTACCCTAAGATGTGCTAGGATTACCCCCTGAATTACCCTCGGATTACTTCGAATTTCCTCGGATTACACCTGCCGGATTACCTATCAGCCGGATTACCGTCTGTCGGCTGTGTTGCGACTGCGTTGGCTGTGCCCCTACTGCGTGCCTCAAGGACCTTTTCAGGACCTACCTTCAAACGGCTCTTTTCAGAGCCACCTCATTTAACACTAAACGGCTCTTTTCAGATCCACCTCATTAAACAGTTTTTTTTTTATTTATCTTTACATTTATCCTATTATTTTTTTTCTTTCCTTCCTATTTACGTTCCTTTTAAAACCAAAGGTTTGGTTGAAGTAATATTTTGTTTTATTAGTTTGTAAGATTTACTATAATGGCCACCTGCTCAGGATTTAAAACAGAGTGCCCGATTTTGGGCAGCTCCTGTGCCAGACCCCTTTCCTCGGATGATGATCGTCCAACTAAAGGACAACTATTGAAATACTACCAATTCCTTTTAAATGAAGAGCTTCTTAAGCTTTTACTTGTAATTTAGTTTTTAGCTTCATGCATTATTTGTTGTGATTTTGTCTTAATAATGTTTTGCATTTTGTACCTTATTGGCCCAGTCGCAATTTGTATTTTGTTGCCCTCTGCTAATCAGCATCGTTACCTTGTGGTATTTTTGTGTAACTTGTGCTGCTATTTTTGCCCGCCTTTTGTGTGCTTGATCTGTTTGTTATCAAGTAACGATTTAGATTATGGGGGCGTGTTCTGATGTTGGCAACCTGTGTGTACTGTACTGCATCTACTGACTGTCTATTCGCAGTTCACTGTCTATATGTATACCTGACTGGGACCAATAAACCCTCTCTCTGATCCAGACCACGAAACCTGCAGCTGCAGCTAGTTATTCCACACTGATCCTCAGCGCCTCCATAAGAGTTCCTAGGAGTTGTTTATCTCCTTGTGGACTTATTTTGAGTCATGCTTCTCAAATGAGGGTTTCTGAAGTTAAAGTGGATGTAGTACTCGTGTAGTTTTACCAAAATATTTCTACTTGTATGACGTACCTTTGTCTTTCCGAATTATTGGTAGTCTCTTATTGTGCAGCCAACAATTTATGCCACAACATGAAGGTTTTTTCAGGGAATATTATTTTGAATGGGGATTGGAAAACAACATCAGTGGTGGCTTAACATTTGGGCACCATATAAGTTTCATTTTTGAGGCATGCATATGTCATGAAAATATGTATCCATTTCTTCATATCATCAGGTTGTCCAGTGAAGACGGATCCGTGCGGATCCGTGCGGACGCACACGGATTGTGCAGAACTTGACGGACGCACGTGCAAATTATGCCACTTTTAAGCCATTTTATTCGCTGGAGGTTTTACAGTACTTTATCAACATATGGCTAAAAAGTGACATTCTTTTTTGTAGAACAATGTTCCTTTTTCCAAATATATGTTAGTCAACACACACGCAACCATTTTTAGACCTGTCAATGCGTTTTAAAACGCGCGTCCGCAAAGGTCCGCACAATCCGTGTGCGTCCGCACGGATCCGCACGGATCCGTCTTAACTGGGCAACCTCATCCATGTTATCTCTAACAGTACAATTTGTACCTTTTTTTAACAGGCCCGGCGGCCTGACTGAGTGTTGCCAGAGGCTTGGCTCTCGGTACCTTCTGTGACCGCGGTGGCGACCGTCGGATTCCACCCCGCTTTGTCGCTACAGGGTCGTAAACTTAGGGGATGGTTTTGAGCAAATTCTCACATTTTTGGCTGCTGCGCGAAAACGAAAAGTCCTACCGCGTTCCAATTTTGATCACAGGTGCCCTAAGCTGCTGTAAAGCAGATTTACCAACACTCCCCCCTGAGGGGCGTAAGTGTCACAGGGGTGGTCACCCCTACCCTAGGGGTAGTTTTTGAAAATCGTCGCGTTTAGCACCGGGGACTTTCTCAGTGCGTCCTACACATTCTCAACTGAAGTTCGCAGACTTTTCCAGACCTCCTTAGTGTGAAAAATGTGGAAATTTCAGTTAAAGGTTTGACAGTTAGGGGTAGTACCGAGGGGGAACCAACTTGGAAATTTGGTGAACTGTGAATATATTCAAATTTTCAATGTCACTGAATACCAGTGAATATCACTGAATACCAGTGAATATCACTGAATACCAGTGAATATCACTGAATACCAGTGAATATTCACTGTGAATGTGTGTGAATTGTGATCGGGATATCTTATGGCATCGATTAAAAGCTTATTCGGTGGCTTAAAGAACGGACCTGCCTGAAGTTGGCCAGAAAATAAGTTGGCCAGAAAAAAAAACTTAGTCAAAATTTTTAATTTTTTCTAGAAAATGTGCTAAAAATTAACCATCCAGAAATGCGTAATTGGGCCTGGGGAACAACATATCAAAAGATGGCGGGACACTTTTTCGGAAAGTCTCGGCCACTTACGCCCTGGGC